GTATTGTGCAGCACAAGCGACCGCTACATGTTGACGTTGCAAGCTTAACGAGTTGGTCGGTCTATCCCATGCAGCTGAAACAACAATCAACTCAGCAGCACTTGGAGCAGCAMATTCAGCGCATTGATGTAACCGAGGAACGGCAACTGCTGCTGCTATTGCTGCTGCCTCATTTGCGCGGCTTCAATAAGCAGCCACTGGAAGCCAGCCTTAAGTCAGCCATCGAAGATCAGCTGGCTCTMAATGCTGCCGAATGCACGCTGCTGCTACTGYTACTGCAGACCCACTCTCTGCTCAAGTTCAAGTTGCCCAAAGAGCTGCGCGCACAGCTGCAGCAGAGTTTGCTTCCACGCGTGGGTGGCGACTTGCGAGCACTGGGCTGTCTACAGCTCATCTTAGTAAACACGGCCAAGGGAGATTGGACGCCCAAAGCAACGGAAGATAGCTTAGCTGTTGTGTCCAAGCTACTAAGTGACCCGATGGCACAGCGTCGTCGCATTGCGGCGCATTGTTTGGAGTTGCTGGGTAACATTCAAGGCAAGCTCAATCCCTATGGATATTTTGCAGCCGCTTGTCGCATTGAGCCCACGGTTCACAATTACCGAGAACTACTGCTGCAGCTGCAACAGCTGGAGCCGGCGGCAGCCCAGTTTAAGCAATACGAACAGCTGCCGCATTACAAGGAGCATGCTGTCAGTCTGCTGCTCGGCTTGTTGTACAACAACTTCAAATTTATATGGGCACCGGTGCAGCAGCTRCTGGCAGAGTATGTCAAAGTCATGACCACAGAGGAGTTCTGGAACTTGTTTAAGGAAAAGCTTCTASAGACGGTCGCCTGCATTRACTACAATGTGGAGGCAACCGCCTTGGAGCAGCCACCACAGCCAAGCTACAGCTCCCATGCCCTCTCTTCGCTGTTGCCGCTGGATGGGGCGCAGCTACAGCTCACGCTGCAGCAAGCTCTAAACTACCGTCAACTGCTATGGCAATGTATTCCCAAGTTAGGCCATATTGCCGAGGTGAAAAATGCGGACCTAGTGCGTCTATTCTTGCAGTTCGTGGAGCGCGAATATCGCGCACAGCTGGAGCGCACCGAACACACGTGGAATTTGAATGAGTCAAGCGGTAAG